TTATCGTTTTCCAGTCGGCTTTTCTCTCTCTCACCCGATTACTATGGCATTTGCTACCCTACCCGTGGTTAGAGTGTAACACACAATACACATACACCTCTGAGTAGTGTAACATACAACACACCAGAGTGGGGTGTAGCGCAATAATTATGGGCCTTTATGATAAGATGCTCAGCTAGTATTATTGTGTTGTATTACCCATATCATGCTCAAAGTAGCATACATTCACTGCCAAGGGCGAAGTCAGTACATGTCGCTATTACAAGCATTAGCGAGGGGGTGGACTTTCCAAATCCTCTTTGAACCGTGATGAAAGGCACATCGTGACTCTAAATACGCATTCCGGAGTGATTATTCCTCAATATACCGTACGTGAAGTGAGCGACATCGAAGAGAAATATAGCATTATGATACAGAGTGTAATGTTAGAGCAAAGCAATTAAATTCAGCTCCTTTTTTCGTAGTTACGAGTACGACTCAGTTTTGTGATAATGTATAGTGGATGCTCAGCATTTACAATCAGAAGAAGCTCAACAACATATTGCAAACGCAAACAGGGGCGCACCCAGGATTTTCCAGGGGAGGGGGCCCGGGCTCAAAGGGGCCTCCGTGTTCCGCTTGCCAGGGGGCCTTTTCTCTATCGAGGGGGCCTCCAAATGGCTTACTTTTTGACGGCCTCTGTATGTTTGGTGACGTTCTTAGCGTTATTAGTAAAGCTTAACCCTCACCCTGGCAGGGGGGTCGATGCGACCCCTCCCCCTAAGGTTTTTCAAAGATAGCGTAAAATTGGCGGCGCGCAACGCCGCTAAATTTGGCACAACATATGGGGCAACCTTTTTTCATGTGATCTGCAAATTTCAGGTCCGGTCGACCTTGGGTCAGGCCACCATGTCAGAAAAACGGGTACAAGGTTATGGTCAAATTTAATTTTTTATGTACCTGTCCAACGCACAGTTTTGGACTGATTTCCTTCAAACTTTCAGGATGTGCTAAGTTCACCGAGCTGTATAATATGTAGTTCGTTTTTTATGTCACTGACCTGAGGTCAGTTAGGGGTCATTACGTCGTAATGTTAAGCCTATGGGAAAATATTCAAATAACTCCTATTCGGAAAATATAGAGATGTCCGCTTCGTTGTATCCCTTTTGTTCTTTGATACCACAGTACTTAACATAATGTCACTCGGTGTTTCTTTGTTTGGTGTACTTATCTAAGGTTCAGGTCAAATGAGGTCAACTCAGGTCAAATGACGTTTGTGCCGATAACTTGTCACATAATAGAACAGGTTTCAAAATGGTATCATTCTGTTCCTCTTGAACAGCTGAGTCGAATGATATGCAACATTAAGCATTTCAACCATTCCTAAGACTTAAGTTTTACTTAAGTTGTGCACTTAAGTACACTTTAATACCTACACTTTTAAGTACACTTAAGCAAACAAAAAAAGTATATCATTCGACACGCCTTGACGTGCTGAGTTCACTGGTGCTTTTGTTTTGCTCTATCTTAACCCGCGCCTGGCCGGGGGGTGTTTGAACACCCCCCCCCCCCCGGCGGCTTTTCGCAGCTCCGCGCCGCCGTTTTTAACACACCTGTTCGTGCATCTTTTCCGCACATGCTGTGAAAATTTCAGACCCAGGTCTCTCAAGGTCAGGTCAGAAACAAATTAGAATGTTCGTCATGGCTACACCGACCGCACGATTGCCTTGAAACTTTCAGCGGTTGATGAGAGTAACAGTGTATCTCGTGTATCCTATAAAAGCGTGTATAAAAACCTATTAAACGTGTATCTCGGAATTTCGATATCGGTGACCTAAGGTCAGGTCAATTTTGCGGCCTCTCTATTATAATTCAATGGGAGAAAATTGAAAGGCGTCTGTTTTGCACGAACGCCATTCTAGACACTCTCAAACATCGGGATGTAGGTAAAATGGACACACTGAACCCGAAAATTGCACCTGTGACCCGGAGTGTGACCCCTCGTTCTGAGATGTCCCCGAGGTCATCTCAGGTCACGAATAGTATCTAACAGTTTTTTGCTAATAACTTCTGATAGAGGCATGATAGAGCGATGAAAACGCCTTAGATGTGTTCGGCTCGACGATGCGGATCGACTGATATGCAACATGACCTTTTCCGGTCAGGTCCTGAGGTCAAATTTTTAAGTTGACTTTTCAAGGTCAACTTATAGTTCATTCGACGCGTTTTGACAAGAGGAACACGATTCTGGCAAAAGTAATGTCGTGGCTTTTTTGAGTCAGAAGTTATTGCCGAAAAACACTGTTCGTAAAAAACGGCTATTTTTGGAGTTTTTGCCCTCTGGAGGCTAAACCGTTGACCTGAGGTCAAATCTGAGGACATATTGGCGAAAGAGCGTCAAAAGAGCTATCGAATGCGCTTTTCCGCGGCGCTGTAGCTCTATCGGTTCCCGAGTTAGCCGTTGGCAGTTTCCAAAATGTTGAAATAGCCAACATTTTACCTTTGGTGACCTCTGGTAACCTGACCTTTGACCTGACCCAAAAAATGACTGAAGTGTTTTCGTACTTATTTTGGACGCTCTTTTGAATGCCGCTTACCGCGTGTCGCTACGTGACCCAGGAGCCGAGTTAGAAGGGGGGTTTTCAGACACCCCCCCCCGGCCCGGCGCGGAAGTCGCGGAGCACCTGCCCGGCGCGGGTTAATTAGATCAAAAGTTATCAGCGAAAACTTTTGACCTGTTTTAGCAAATTTTTTACAATTATACCTCCCAAAAAAACCTAAATATTGACCTAGAGCAACCAAATTTGCACAGGGACGAGGATTTTAAGAGGGCCACCTACCTACCAAATTTGGTATTTCTAGGTGCCATAGGATCCAATCGCGAGGGGGGTCGCATCGACCCCCCCCCCTCTGCCAGGCCGCGTTATGAAAAATGCCCTGCCAGGGCGAGGCGCTGCCCGGATAGGACCTCTTGTGAAGAGGGGCCTCCTATCCAGAGATGGCCTCTTTCCCAGAGACGGTCTCCTTCCAGAGGGGATCCAGAGAGAGTCCTGCCAGAAGGGGCCTCTTGTGCAGAGGGAGCCTTCCATCAGGAGAGGGCATAAAGGGTCTCGTTCAAGAGGCCAGAGGGGCCTCCTGACTCCTGCCCAGAAAGGGCCCCTGTGCAGAGGAAGCCTCGGGGTCTCCTGCCCATAAAGGAGCTCCTGCCAGATGGGGCCTCCTGGCTCCTGCCTAGATAGGGCCCTCTGTGCAGAAGGGAGCGTCCCATCCAGAAGGGGCCTCCTAAGCATAAAAGGTCCTCTGCCAGAGGGGACTCCTGCCCATAAAGGGTCTCCTGCCAGAGGGGGCCTCCTGGCTCCTGCCCACAAAGGGCCTCCTGTGCAGAGGGAGTCTCGGGGCCTCCTGCCCATATAGGATCTCCTGCCAGAGGGGGCCTCCTGGCTCCTACCCAGATAGGACATTTTGTGCAGAGGGGGCCTCCTGACTGCTGCCAAGATATGTCCTCTTATGCAGAGAGAGACTCCCATCCAGAGAGGGCCTCCTGCCCAGAAAGGGTCTCCTGCAAGAGGCCAGAGGGGCCCCCTGACTCCGGCCCAGAAAGGGCCCCTAAGTAGAGGAAACCTCGGGGCCTCCTGCCCAGTATAAGATTTCCTGCCAGAGGGGGCCTCCTGCCCAGTATAAGATTTCCTGCCAGAGGGGGCCTCCTGGCTCCCACCCAGATAGGGCCATCTGTGCAGAAGGGAGCCTCCCATGCAGAAGGGGCCTACTAAGCAGAAAAGGTGTCCTGCCAGAGGGGCCTCCTGCCTATAAAGGCTTTCCTGCCAGAGGGGGCCTCCTGCTCCTGTCCAGAAAGGGCCTCCTGTGAAGAGCGAGCCTCGGGGGCCTCCTGCTCATGAATGATCTCCTGCCAGAGGGGGCCTCTTGATTCCTGCCCAGATAGGGCCTCTTGTGAGAGGTGCCTCAAATCCAGAAGGGGCCTCCTGTGCATAAAAGGTCCCCTGCCAGACGGGGCCTCCTGCCCATCAAGGGTCGCTTACCAGAGGGGGCCTCCTGTGCAGAGGGAGCCTCGGGGGCCTCCTGCCCATGAAGGATCTCCTGCCAGAGGGGGCCTCTTGATTCCTGCCCAGATAGGGCCTCCTGTGAGAAGGTGCCTCACATCCAGAAGGGGCCTCCTGCCCATCAAGGGTCGCCTACCAGAGGGGGCCTCCTGGCCTCTGCCCAGATAGTGCATCTTGTGCAGAATTATAGTAGGTTAGGCAGGAAAGTCAAGTGTAAAAGTACCCTAAGCGGTGCTCAGGGGGCCTCCTAATTATGACCGAGCGGGGGGGGCCCGGGCCCCAAGGCCCCCCCCTTGGGTGCGCCACTGAACGCAAACGAAAACTAGATGTAAATAAAATGATGTCTGCTCTTTGAACCGTTGGATCGAATGCCTTCTATTAGTTCACAACTTCACACCGATTGTCTCCCTTTTCGTTACGCATTATTTCTGAATAGGCAGCACTACCTGCCTGAAGTAGGCATTTACCTGCACGTGTGAAATGGTGCATTTAGCGTAGCGATATATCATTTTAGTTTATACTGTTATACTGTTTGTTAGAATAAAAAAGCTAGCATAATTAATAACAAGGATTTGTGGTTATGAGTATCCAGAGATGACTATCACTAAGATGTTATATGCATGCATGAATGGGTACAATAAGTCAAAACAACAGTGGGTAAGCAACGACCATAACTCGTGAAACCAACTTACTATTCATACATGTATAATTTCATTGTTTGAAATTGTAAGCCCAAATCTCGAAATTACTCAAGAGCCTCCAAAGCCAGACAATAACCAAAGGTCACTCAAAAGACAAATCACTCGACGGCAGACAAAGTCTCATGAACGCCCAGGCTACTCTACTAGGATTCAGTATACCAACAACTCCAATCAGCTGTAAAATAGTGTTTTGTGTAATATTTGTGTAATTGTAAATAGTGTAAAATAGTGTCACCCAGCGGGAGGAATTATAGTCACTTACCGGGACAAAGAAGCTCTTTTCAACGCTCTGAACACCCTGCCTTGACTTCTGTCGCTAATATTTCCCTTCTTCTCGCCTTCTGTCGCTGCAATTTCCCTTCTTCTCGCCTTCTGTCACCTCTTCTCGGCTTCTTTGACAGTCTGTCGTTTTCTGTTGCTTTCGCTGGTCGTTAACTGGTGTTCTTAGTTTTGACAGTGTTCTTCTAATTGTATCCCTTCTTCCGTTTCTTCGGTTGCTAATTTCTACTTCACTCCTTGGATCTAGATGCCAGAAGATCACTTTTCCCCTAACGTCCACCAAAGTTGTTCTCTTTTTTCAAAATGTCTTTCAAAGTCCCCTACAATCACTTCCACTTTTCAAAGTTTTCACGCTCACCGCTACCATTCAGAGTCCTCCACACTGTTCTAAACCGCCCTAAAAAAACGTTGTCCTTACGGTTCGAGCCAAAGATCCCTTCTGAGATCTGTCAAAAACTGTCACTCCGCGCTGCCGCACAGCTGACAAAGTTTTCACAGGTGAGCGGCCCAGCTCATCTCCGGTCACTAATTTGACAGTGAAGGCTGTTTCTCCGTCCGTCCGTCTGTTATACTCGGAGAGATTACAGCGTGACGCCACTAACGGCACCCATATGACGTCACTGGCGGACAAGTGACGTCACTGGTGGGTCAGTGAAGGGAGGAATGTGTGGTATCTGCCAGCGCCGCCGCGCTGGTGGAAGGGGAGTGGCCTGCAGGGCGGCAGTGAATGTGAGGCGGATTACAAGATTTGTTGATAACTGATTTGAATGTTACGGTCTGTCTGTCTGTCTGTCTGTTTTATCTGCATATGTTCACACTCGTCCATTGCACTTGGTAAGGACTGGCTGTTCACAGACGGATGTTTCCGGAACCAAGAAAAAACTTTACAATTGAAGAAATCCGTGATTCATTTGCCCTCACTTTCACTCCCCTTGGCGAGCGTTTTAGCGGAAATCATGCTAATTATGATTCAAATAAAAAATTGCACCCCATGGGTGAAATAAGTAGGTATGCCGTAAGAAACGTTGCTAGCCTAACAAATTGTCACGTACCGCTTACGAAAACGAGTGTCATTATCTGCCAATATAGATGTGTCAGGAGCAGTTCTGGATAATCCTAAATTGTCGATGAGCACTCATAAACATTGGGATTCATCTAATGATGTTCTTTTGCAGCTCAGCCCACCACAGTTCGCTGTTATTAGCTCGGTGTATGTTCCCACAAGCATAAGGTTTTTCTCAGAAATCGCTATATTTTTCACCATGATGTCGTGCAGGTCAAACGAGGTTCAATGAACTATTTCAGAGAGGGACAACTTATGCATTCCCTTAAGACAGCTTGAAATGCTCTGTGCGCCTACCTGCCACCATGAACGACAGTTTACAGGAAAAAAAAACAGGCCCGCCGCGCGGTATATCACGCTTTTCTGTTCCATCGCGGTGTGTGCACTGCTAGCGGACGACATGTACGATAGGATATAAATATCTGAAACGATATCAATGCGGTATTTCTGCGATGATCACACTGATTTGGAAATAAAAGCTGGAGTGAAGTAAATGTCATATGATCGGTACCTAATCTGTATAGCGTCATGCATTGTGTAGAACGCTACTAATTTTAGATTTTGATTGACATTGTTTCGGAAATTTCCAGCCAAATAGAGACTTAAATATCACCGCAATGTAGTGAATGTACCTATCAAGATCCTTTCTTGATTATTATAATTACCTTTCCCACTGATTCTCGCCGCCTATCTTTTTCGTGTCAACTAGCTTTTGGTGAGTCAATGCCGACGAATCATTGGATGGAAAATCCACAGCTTTTGTGCATGTCATGCTCCAGTCACCAGAACCCATATCAGCTTTCTTTGTTATTCTAGTTCTGTTCTGGTTTCTTTCGCCCTTTCTTTGAAAACTGCCTAGATATAGGTATGGGCAAATTAACAATGTAAATATGTACTGGCAAGATACCATAACTTATAGCTTCAATAGAAATGTTACGGGAGAAGCAGTTGCTGCCGGCTGCTGCGCTTTCGGTGGCGAGGTCTAAATAAAATTTTAGCTTTGTAATGAAGTACCGAAAATGTATCGCCCAAAAAACTTCGAGCTTGTATGCTTAAAGGGACCCTCCCACCTTCAAAAAAGTTAATGAATTGGCATTAAAGTGATGTCGCTCGGTTCAGAAAGAGCAAAAACGAATATCTACCAAATTTCATCGAAAAATATTCACCGGTTTTCAAGATATTAGACTTTTACTTTTGTTTACTTTTTGGGATCTCCGCTGTTCCTAGCGACTTTATTTGAAAGTGCGGCATTTGTTGCGCGCAAAGCAGCATATACCACCGCGTGCTACAAAACGTTTTAGTCAAACATTTAACGGACGTTCGAAAGCCTGATGACGTCATCAGATTCCCGTAATGGTTAAGAGATAGGGACCACGCTGGTCCCACCCTGCAAGTAAAGGGAAGAAATTTCTTGAACACCATAAAGCTGCGGGGGTTGCGACCAGGATAAATGGTGGTTTCTGAGCCTGGCCGCAAACTTGGCTATCTCAACTCAAAACTAATGTTAAGGTGGGAGGGTCCCTTTAAAATCAATATTCCTTTACTTCTCGGGCTGGTTCACTAGAGAAATAAAGGCGCCGTGGTGACGTCATCAGAGGAAATGATTCACGTTCAAATGAAGGGGTCATTTGAATTGCTGAATTTGGCTCGATATAGTCCTATTTTTTAGTTTCAGCCCCATTTATCGTAATGAGGCGAGCTCATTGTTACATTGGTACAACTTTTGATGACAAATAATCCTGATTTTTTCTCCAGCTCGCTTGAAAGATGATGAAATTTGCATGCATGCCTATGGGTGAAGGGAGATTCTACCGCCGCCCGTGGTGACGTCACGGTTAAGGGATTCTGGAACTCGTGAACGGGGGCTGGTTAAAATTAAGCCCAGAACTCCCAAAACTCCAAACTGATAGCATCAGGACCCGTGTGCCCACTGAGCGGCACTTAGGTACGGTGTGACGTTTCGGACCCATCGCCCTGCAAATAGTCATACGATCATTATAATTGATCAATCGGTGCATGTAAATTTGAAATATAAACTTAGTTATATAAATTTATGTTTTGTTCTGAAATCATTCATAGAGTAGAACAAAGTGACAGACGAGGGGAAAATCATACCTTGATCTCAAACCGTCAAACGCGCTTTTTGTGTCATAGTTTCGGGGTCGCGATTGAAATAGCATCCCGGCCCTTATTTATTTCATCCAAATAAAATACCTGTCACACTGTGACATGACACTTGACAGCTGAGGCCAGTTTTCCAAGCTGGAAGATAGCTGGCTGTGGCTAATGACTAATTTTCTTTTTCCTGAAGGCACTTCCGAATATCGCCATCCGCGCAAAACAAATAACCGCCGATATGAAAAGAAACCAGCGTAACTAAATTGATGATTTCGAATCATCAGTTGTGATTAGTCGGATCAAATTCAGGGATACTTAAAGAAATAAAATCGCGACAGTCACCGTTTTTAGCTTGTTGAAACTTAAACGCAATTGCATTCTGTACTGACATGATCGGTCAAGCTCCTATCTCACCATCTCTCAGCCTAACAACATGAACAGATGGGAAAAAAATCCCCCGGACCTTTGCTAGACTGCGACAAATAGTTTCCGGTTTGATGACAATAAAATAGCCACTATCGGAGTCCAATCTCCCAAAACAGGTGTGGCAGCTGACGAGGATTTATTTGGCAGTGTTTACGAGCATTTAGCGGTTCTCTTGCCTCTATAGCGCGAGCCGTCCTCCGCAAGAAAAAAGACTTAAGCCAAAAAAATGAGGCGAAGTCGAAGATGAAGAGGAAATGGGGGAACTTGGCAATGAAATGTTGTGAATTGAGTGTGAATCAAAGAACCGAAGAATATAAAGCTAAGATTTGCATTTATGATTCATGATTGATTTAAGATTTGTGAGACCTACTACCGTAAGATCAATGACTAAGTTAAATGACTAAATATACACAACGCGAGACTATATTATCACGAAACCAGGCAGCGTTGTGCTGAATGCCCATGACCAGCTCTTGTGTAACGTGCGGTTCATCCTCGCCCGTGAAGGAATAACTGTAACGGAGGGAAAATCGTGGCTGCCATATGTGCGATAACAGTTCAGAGGATATACGTGACATGATGAATGATATGGCAGGGTGAGAGGAGTAATGTTCTCTCCTGAACCTGAGATAAGAGAGACTCGTAGCCATCGAGGTCGAAAACACCAAACTATGATGAGAGATGCGCCTTTATATATGCTTAGTATTTGGCAGTGTTCGCCACAGGCCGCAAAATCCCAGTCCAGCCCAGCCCAGGCCCATGGGCTCACGGCCCGGCCCAGCCCGAGCCCGTTCACGGTAAAAGCGGCAAAGCCCAGCCCGGCCCGGCCCGACCATAATGAATGAATTAAACATTATGGAAACTAGAAAGTAACAATCTTTTGAGAGCATCATGCACAATGCACATTAAACATGCATGCTTTATCAGCTATAGTCCTTCAGTCTTGCACATTGCACAATAATAAGATAGTTATGGGTTTTGCCTCAGTCGCGACTCGCGAACTCCTCCATTTCAGTCCATTTTCAAGTTCTTATGGCCCAGCCCGTCCACGGCCCATCAATGCTTCATATTTGAGGGCCCAGCCCAGCCCGTAGCCCAGCCCAGCCCATAGCCCATTGGGCTGGCCCGGCTCATGGCGAACACTGGTATTTGGTCGAACATAATTACTGGTAGAAGGTACACACAATACTTCTGCTGAATACACGCTACTTCAGTGTAATCTCAACCTTTTTGAAGTTTTAGTGACCTTCTGACCTGACCTAAGGTCACTGAAGCTCGATTTTTTTAGGAAATGTGCCACGAGGACCCCATATAGCGTTTGCCACGATGTTTGCGTCCTTGTGCCACCCCCCCTGAACCGGCCAGGTTTTGAAAGTCATTTGACGTTGGTTATCCATCCTTGTTCCAGGCAAACAACTCCACTCAGGCAGTCCATGGGGCACTTTAAGATAGAGTAGGGGAAGGTTGGGTAAGACGTCCCAGCGGGGCAAGATGGACCACCAGCCCTCCCGGCTGAACCGCTGCTGTTATCTGCTGCTTTATGCACTCACTACCTTTGTCTTACTTCGTATCAATGGCCTCCTTGAGCTCATGGGGCCAGGATGCATAGAGTTTGAGCTAATGAGAAAAATGTTGTTTTTCGTCAAACCGATCTAATATAAGACGTCTAAGGGTGATTTAACCCGCGCCCCACTGGGGTCTGTGTATAACACGCCCTACTGGGGGGGGGGGGCTATTCATAGCTCCCCCCTCCTAACTCCGAAACTACTGGGCCGATCGTCAAAATTCAAACGGCATCTGATAGCCCCGGAAAAATTGTCGGGCGGAACCTAATTTAATTGACCTCGAGGTCACCGCTGACGTCACAGGTCAGGTCAAAGTAAAAATTATCGATATTTGGCTTGTTCACATTTTGGGCTCTGGCTGCCGTCTGGCAAGTCAGATCAGGCTGATTTTTGGTTTACATACTCGTGAACAGGTGCTTCAGATACCCAGAGGTTAATGAAAAAAAATGTTTAAACATTGACATATATAAGTTTAAGTAAGCTATTTTTCAGGAAGGAGTCTGTTGCAAGGGACTGAGCCATAGGCGTAGGAACAGGGGGGCCAGGTGGGCAAGTGCCCACCCACTTTTCGATGTGGGGGGGCCAACCATGTGTTTTGGCCCACCCACTTTTTACTCGAGGCCCCTCGTCTCGATTTGAGAGGACGTCGTCACCTTCCAGAATAAACAAACTCGGTAAAAATAAGTTCCACGAATCCCCACGCACGGACTCCAAGGGGCCGTGATGGATCCAAGGAGGCCCTCTGTTCATACTTGTCAGTCGAAGCCCCTGAGACTGATAGCCTGAGAGGCCCTAGTGGATCTGAGGAGGCCCCAATATCCACACTGGTCTGGGGAGGCCCCTGACACTGGCGGTCTGGGAGGCCCCTCTATCCACACTAGTCAGAGGTCTGAGACTAGTGGTCTGGGAGGCCCGCCATCCACACTAGTCAGAATAGGCCCCTGACACTGGCGGTCTAGTTGAGGCCCCCTACCCTCACTAGTCATAGGAGGCCCCTCTATCCTCAATAGTCAGAAGAGGCCCCTGAGACTGATGGTCTGGGATGCCTATCCATCTACACTGTAGTCAGAGGAGGCCCCTGAGACTGATGACCTGAGAGGCCCTTATAATCACACCAGGCAGAAGAGGCCCATGAGACTGATGGACTGAGAGGTCCTTCTATTCATACTGGCCACAGGAGACCCCCAAAATTTTCGGTCTGGGAGGTCCCTCAATCCGGCACCAGTCAGAAGAGTCCCCTGAGACTGATGGCCTGGGAAGCCCTTATATTCACACTAGGCAGAGGAGGCCCCTGAGACTGATGGTATGAGAGGCCCTCATATTCACACCAGTCAGAAGAGGCCCCCGAGGCTGATGGCTGTGAGGCCCTTCTGTTCATATAACTGGCCACTGGAGGCCCCTGAAACCGGTGGTCTGGGAGGGCCCTCTATCCATACTAGTCAGAAGAGGCCCCTGAGACCGATGGTCTGAGAGGCTCTTATATTCATACTGGCCACAAGAGGCCCCTGAGACTGATAGTCAGAGAGGTCCACTCCTAATGAATCTGAGGGCGCCCTCTATCCACATTTACACTTTTCTAGGGAGGCCCCCGAGACTGATGGTCTGAGAGGCCCTTTTATTTATACTGTCCACAGGAAGCCCCCTGAGATTAATGGTCTGAGAGGCTCTTCTATTTATAATAAACAGAGGAGGCCCCTAGGATTGATGGTCTAACAGGCCCTTCTATTCATACTAGCCAGAGGAGGCCCATGAGACTGATGGTCTGAGAGGCCCTTCTATTCAATTTATATATAGTGTTGACAATTCAACTTGACTCAACTCTCAACTCTCAAATAAATCCGAAAAATCTCCGACACAGACCTGGAGACACGTGGCTCAAGCCATTTCAATGCGTATATATTGAATCAGACGATTCCTGCGCACCACATCACATTTCTCAGGCCACGTCGACGACCGTCGAAACACTAAACCACTGCTAAAAAATAGTCGTTGAATCGCTGCCAAGAGAAGCGTTCACTAAATTCCATAACATCCTCCCCCCTGAAATGCGAACTTCAGAGGGCGCGTTTCACACAGGTACGGAACCGATCTTACAACGACAGATCCATAGTTCACAGCGAACAAGACTGCATCACTTAATTCAATTCAGACAGATTCAGACAGAGAATCTGAGTCAAACGCATCAGTCTACAAACGCAAACGTAAATCGATTAACCACTCTTCAAACAAACAGACGCCAACCTCGACGCAAACGACATCAAACTTGTCACATCACCAGGGCCACTTGCACCCTGCACTCTGCGAGCCACCACACGCAACTGTCAACTCAGCGCGTCCTCTGCACGCCGCCTCACTGCTCAGAGCGACATCTACAGTCGGCGCCCAACACTACCTTGCCTGTAATCGCAGACGAGAGAAAAACAAACTAACACTGCTGACGAACACTGCGGTCTAACACCGCCGACGAATGTGAGCGGTTCACGGCTCAGAGGACAGCGGGTCGAGGTCAAAAAGCCTCTGGATGGGACGGGTTTTTAGACCAGACGGAGTCCGGACTTCTGCCGACCTCACCTTTCCGTCTCGGCCGGTGATCAGTCTCGTGACGACGCCATGTACCCACCTCATGCGCGGCACGTTATCCTCCTGCAGCATGACCATGGAGCCCTCGGACAGCTTACCTTGAGGCCTGAACCTTCTGACAGAAGGCGGCAGGGTCCTGACATACTCCTTGTACCAGACAGACCAAAATCTAGCCAGACGCTTCTCACACGCACGAGCTCTCTCAGTCAGCGCCTTCGCATTCACACAGGCAGGGTCCTCCACCACCCGCGAGGAGAACCCGGTCCCTCTGCCCGTCAGAAAGTGCGCCGGGGTGATCGGGGGGCTCGAGTCCAGTCCATCACCAACAAACGTCAATGGACGGGAGTTAACCCGCGCGGGGCTGGGGTCTCCAGCCGAACGCGCGGGGCTGGGGTGGGGGTAAATTTTACCCCCCCCCCCTGTTATCTCCCGAACTAATGGTCCGATTTGGAAAATTCAAACGCCAATCGAAAGCTCTCATCACGAACTACTAAAAACATGTACTTAATTTAAAGTTTGAGGTCAAGGTCAAGGTCAGGTCAAGGGTACAAATTGCAAGTTTCTACAGTATCGGCCTTGCACCGTAGTTGCCGAAGAATGGAGTCATGGACTGAGACTGATCGCCCAAAACGTGTTCTTAGGTTACAAAGACAATATTCGTTGCATACAATATCATTCAGAGGTCAAGGTCAAGGTCAGGTCAGGTCAGGTCAGGTCACCAAAAACAAAATATAGAAAAGGGCATGTGCGACACATGTTTTATGGGTCATTTTACTCATATAATTCAATAGGCACACTCAATAAGTGATATGGACCACCTCTGGATGAATTTCAGGTCGAGGTCAGGTCAAGGTCAGGTCAAGTGAGGTCAAATTTTGAAGTTGGTTGTTAAGGCCTAAAAAGGTGTCTATCTGATGCAGTTTTTCACGGCAAATCGAATGGTGCTATTTTTGTTTCCGTACGAGGTCTAGAACTTCCAAAAAAGTCATTTTTCAAAAATTTTGTATGTCGTGACGTCATAAAATCTTGAATAACTCCCACATTTTTGAACCGATTCTTCTAAAATTTGGTATGTAGGTGCACATAGACCACTTCTCTGACATATATTCCGGTTTTTTCGATAGACTCAAAATTTTGGATTTTATAATGATTTTCCCAAAAAAATCAGTTTTTTGAAAAAAAATTTAGGCCAAAATCCAAAATTTTCAAAAAACCGAGATAGCCATTTGATAGACAAAGTAAAATTACGTATAACCTTTTTTGTTACGTCTTGATTCCTTTAAAAATGAAGATGTTAGCGGCGTTTGAACTTTTGCCGTTTTTGAGGCGAAAATGGCGAACATGACGTCACTAAAACGTCAATTTCTCAAAAATTTTCCGACGGATTTCGCTCAAATTTTCAGGGAACGTGTCAAATTGATGTAAGAAAAGGTACTGAAAGTTTGGCGGCGCTGCGCGCCGCCGTTTTTGAGATATCGCAAAAATTCGCGAGGGGGGGGGGGTAAAATTTACCCCCCCAGCCCCGCGCGGGTTAACACAACACTCAACTTCTAACAACACAGTCTCCAGCTCATCCCGTGACAGACAGCGTGACCCAAGCGACTTGCGCAGGCCCACTTTCACGGAACGGATGAGCCGTTCCCACCATCCGCCCCACCACGGCGAATGCGGTACAATGAAGCGCCACTCAGGCGCCAGATGACTGTAGACACGCTGCAGCTGCTTATCAGCTCCCCTGAAAGTAGGTGCGTTGTCAGAGTACATGATCCTTGGTAGACCGCGCCTGGCTGAAAAACGCCTGAGTGCTAGCATGAATGCCGGTAACGACAGGGCGTCAGTCATTTCAAGGTGAACGGCACGCGTGACAGCACACGTGAACAGGCACACGTAAAATTTCTTCCGTGGAAAATCGACGCTGAACAGGGGACCACCAAAATCAACAACAGTCACTGTGAATGGAGGGGACTGAGTCACTCTGCAGCCCGGCAGAGGCGCCGCCTCCTCGTTGAACGGTCGAGAATCGTGACGAAGGCAGCTGACACAGCCGCGCTTCACACCCTTGGCGATGCAGCGCAAGCCCAAGATCCAATACGCTCCTCTGAGCGAAGTCATCATCGTTGAGACACCCGCATGTTTCAGAAGAACATGCTGCTCTCTTGCCAAAAGCACAGCCAAGTGACATTTTGGCAGCAGAATCGGGTGCTTCTCCTCGTACATCAAGTCAGAGAACTCCAGCCGACCCCTCACTCTGAGAAGTCTATCGTCAGCGATAAACGGGTCGAGACCGATCAGGCGCGAGCCCTTCGGCAGCGACTGGCGCTTCTCCAACGCGCTCCATTCTCCAGAAAACGCCTTCCGCTGCTCCTGTCGCAGCAGATCGAGCCTCGCGTCAGCTAGCTCGAGAGTCGTCAGATCAGGAAGACTGCACCTGTCAGCTGGGACACGACAGTTCCGTATAAATCGACGGACCCAGCCCGCCACACGGACAGCCTTGGACATCTTACCCCAGCGTTCAACAGGAAATACTTCCTCAAACTGTGAAGTCACCAAACAGAAGGACTCTACTTCAACCATCTCCTCAGTAATAGGATCAGACACCTTCTCGTCAAACGAACACACAGCTCCGTCCGGTGTGCACAAGGTAGCACCGGGCGAGCACACGGCAGCGCCGGGTGAGCACACAGCCCAGCCAGGCGAGCACACGGGAGTGCGCACAGCCCCGCCAGGCGAGCACGCCGCACCGCCGGACGAGCACACAGCACCGCCAGGCGAGCACACAGCACCGCCAGGCGAGCACACGGGAGTGCGCACAGCCCCGCCAGGCGAGCACGCCGCACCGCCGGACGAGCACACAGCACCGCCAGGCGAGCACACAGCACCGCCAGGCGAGCACACGGCTGCGCCGGGAGTGCGCACAGCCCCGCCAGGCGAGCACGCCGCACCGCCGGACGAGCACACAGCACCACCAGGCGAGCACACAGGCGTGCACACAGCACAGCCAGGCGAGCACACAGGCGTGCGCACGGTACCGCCTGGTGAGCACACAGGCGTGCTCACATCACCACCAGCTCGGTACACATCACCACCAAGGGAACACACGTCACCTCCACGGGGGCACACGTCACCTGCACGGGGGCACACGTCACCTCCGGGAGAACTCACAGAGACGCCGGACAAATCGTGCTGCACCAAGACAGACTGGTTCACGTCAGGTGTGTGACAGTGTGACAGCCAAGATGGCCCACTGAGCCACAGCTCTGACCTCACAAGCTCCTCAGCAGAAGCGTGTGGTGAGGTCAGCCGGGTTACACTCCCCCGGACAGTGCTGCCACCGTTCAGGATCCGTCAGACTCTGAATTTCAGTCACTCTGTTGGCCACAAACTCCTTCCACTTACGTGGATCGGCCCTGATCCAACCCAGTGCTACCATTGAATCAGTCCAACAGAGGCACGGAGTACTGTGCGAGAGACGGAGCGCACTCCTCACGAACACGACCAGGCGGGCCGCGATCAGGCAGCCAAGAAGCTCTAGCCTAGGAAGACTAAGCTTCTTAACAGGCGCCACACGGCTCTTTGCCATCACCAGCGACACATGAAATGACCCATCCTCCAAAGGGACACGGATGTAAACGGTAGTTCCATACCCTTTGGGCGATGCATCGCTGAATGCCAGAAGCTCAGCGCCGTGGCCGTCCCTCCACGCGCTCGGCGAGTAGCGGCGCGGCACACGCAGCTCCTTCTGCACCGCCAGTCAACTCAGCCATCTGGCGAACGTCTCACGACAGGACTCCGGCAGCGGGTCATCCCAGTGCAACCCCAGCTGCCACAGCTCTTGGAAGAGAGATTTCAGAGTCATCACAAACGGGCTGATGAATCCAAGGGGATCGAACATGCGTGCGACAAAGCTGAGAACGACACATTTTGTGGGAACAATGTCGTCAGGCAGTGACACGCCCTGGAATGCGAACAGGTCATCAGTCGGGTTCCAGATCACACCGAGCACCTTCACATGCTCACTCTCACCAAACACACCCTGCGCCTTGTCGAACAACAGGGGGCTGTTAGAGCGACACTTGGTCAACATCATGTGGGCATCTCTCATCACACGCTGAGCCTCTGAGAGCAGCGCGGAGGCCTCACTCTCGCTGTTGGCACCCGACAACAGGTCATCCACATAGAAATTCTCACGCATCTCACGAATGGCAGGAGAATCAGGGTACAGAGACAAATGATGTCTAATCGTAGCACTTAGGAGGAAGGGAGAACTACTGACACCAAAAATGACCCTCTGTGACTTCATCACACGCACACGACCGTCACAGTCCCACAGGAAACGGTGGGTGTCTTGATCCTCGACACTCAGACCGACCTGCAGAAAGGCTTTCGTGATGTCAGCGGTCACTGCGAACGGCCAACGCCTGAAACGCAGGAGAACCTCCAGCAGGTTAGGCAGGAGGCAGGGTCCCACCTCCAAGCAATCGTTCAAAGAGACACCGTTAGGCCCACGAGCGGACGCATCGAACACTGGGCGGACTTTAGTAGAGGTGCTGCTCTCCTTGACTACCGGACGGTGGGGCAGGTAAAATGTAGGGTTCTGGGTTACCAGCTCCTCCACAGGCACCTCTGTAATCACCCCAGCCCCCTCCATCTCACACAGGGCACCATCATAACAGGCACGCAGGTCAGGGTCCCGCTCCAGCTTACGTCCCAGACCAGTCAGCCGCTTTTCAGCACTAGCTCGGTTATCCTGCAACAGGTCAACTGCACCCTCCTTCCATGGCAGTTTCACCACATAACGACCATCAGCTGATCGTTCCACAGTGGACTCGAACGTGGTCATCACATCAGACTCATCACCAGTGGTCACATCCGTCACACCTACTCCCTCCAGTGACCACAGACGGCGCAGCGCCGACTCATGTATGTCACCCAGACACAGGAGCTGACATCCACCCTTGTGGTCATCTACGCCACTCACCTGACCGCTCAGCACCCAGCCGAACACAGTTCTCTGAGCCACCATACCCTCTCGCAGTACTCGCGTCTCCCCACTTACCAGTTGCCAGAACTGATCAACACCGACCAGAATGTCGATGTGCAGACTCTCACTCTCTAGCGGGTCAGCCAGGACTACACCATCAAGCTGATCCAGAACAGAGGCCGGCAGAAGTGGACGCGCGAGGGGGGCACATATGGCTGGAACCGCCACAGCTCTGAGGTTCTGAGGGGCAGATACAGAACCATGTGAACCACTCACACTCAGCCAGGGGCGGATCCAGAAAATCTCCAAGGGACGGGCCATTAGAAACCAGGAGGCCCCCCCATAATCCCACCTGTTGGAGGCCCCATCTTCCCACTTGTTGGCCCCCCAAAAAAAAACTGCGTCTATTGAGCTTATCTAGCTGTTCAGGCAACATCTCAACATCTGTGCAGGCTTGGAGGCCCTCTGTGCAGGTTAGGAGGCCCTGTAAAAGTGGTCATCTCTGTGAGTATAAGAGACCTCCAAGTTATGAAAAGCTTTACCAATCTTCTAACAAAGAAGTCTTCTCAGCTAGTCTTCTAAGAAATAACTAAGTGGGTAGGTTAAAAAAAAACTCATCGGATTTCGGCCACTTTATTTTCAGGAGGCCCCCTTTTCAGCTTTTTAACTTTTTAACTTTTTATTTTATTTTTGAAAAAATCGGCCAAGGGGGGGCCATGGCCCCCATGGCCACCCCCCCTTGTATCCGCGCCTGCACTCAGCTCATACACGTCACGGGTGGCTCTGGGAACCTTTCCTCCTCCGAACACTGCATACCCCACCTCCGTGGAGCCACACCAACGCGGCTGTACCTTGCGCACAAGCGCACTGCTCACGTAAGTAGTGTCTGAGCCAGAATCCAACAGAAGGTTGGCCTCAACAAGACTCCCCCCGTGACCCTGCACCAGCACCCTTGCTACAGGAAGCACAGAACACTTCTTATCTCCATCACATGACAGTGACGCACCTCCACCCCCCTGGGGCCCTCCCTCCGGGGCTGCATCAGCCACCACACTGAGACTCTGAGTCTGACTAGAGTCAGACTGAGGCAGAGCAGCTGTCTGCTCCCTCTCCACACCACCTACCTCTACACGGGATGGCACTCCGACACTCTTACCCATGCACAACAATGGGTGATGGTTACCTCCACAACGATCACACATCCTACCACAATCAGTGGCCCGATGGCCCACCTCAAGGCATGAGAAGCATGCGTACAACTCACGAAGCTTCTGAAATCTCTGACGGAGATTCAGACGCTGGAACACTCTACATCTCTCAGAGACATGTCCCTTACCGCAGAAAGAGCACTTAAGCTCAGATGAGTGCAGAGCTGCCCCGGAGGGTAGACCAGGGCCGGTGCCCCGCGCCTCCGTGTACACAGACGGGCGCCGGCTAGTGACAGCAGGGTGGCTGCCTCCACCTCTCGAAGATGAAGAACCGCCGGCACTGCCAGCCCGAGCGGAGACTCCGGCACCACCAGCCCGTGAAGAAGCGCCGGCACCACTGGCTCGTGAAGATGAAGATGATGCTCCAGCACAAGCCAGTCCCACGTAGACACCAGAGCGACCTCGCCGCTCCACCTCCCTCGTCAGGAACCCGATGAGATGATCAAGATCAGCCTCCTTCTCCTCGGCTTCACGGGCCCACTCCAGGCGGACAGCATTGGGTAGTCGGGAAAGGATGATAGGATTTAGAAGGACACCATAGGACTCTCCTGTAATGCCGAGGGCTTCCAGGCTTCTGATGTGGATGAGGAGGATATCTACTAGGTCACGGAGCTTGTCCAAAGGAATAGGATCAAGGTTGAGGAGAGCTTGCACATGAGAAAATATTATTAAATCCTTGCGTCCAAACCGCTCTTGCAGAAGATCACATGTTATCTTATAACTCTCGCTACTCAATGCGAGCCCCTCCACGCATCTCTTCGCCTCACCATCCAGCAACGTTCTCAGATAGGTGAGCTTTGTGACATCTGCTAACTTCGAATCATGTACTGCGACACAAAACGCCTCCCAAAATGCAGGCCAATCTTGGGGTTTTCCAGAGAAACGGGGCAGGTCCAACCTCGGTAGCTTGGGGGTCTCACCTCGGATCCCAGCACCAGAAGCTGGTGCTGCTTGGTGGACTGCCAGCAGTTTCATGGCCCTCGCTCTCAACATGATCAACTGGTCCAACGACCCTGAAGACTGGTCGGACAGGGTGTCCTCCTCAGATTGTTCCGACTCAAGAGCCGTCTGCGCGGCTTCAAAGTTACACATCCTCCTATCAAAGAGAGCAAGCATGGTTTCCAGTTCAAAAAGATCCACATCTTTGCTTGTCTGTGCGTCACTTTGCTTTGCATCTTTGCTTGTCAGCGCGGCGCTCAGGGACTCGCCTGCACGATTCAGCCACCCTCGGGCGGCGTTCCTCGAACGTTTCAAGCGCTCTATCTCCGCCATACTCGATATCAGACTGGAAACGGGAAAGAACAACTCAGTAAATATTCCCGGGTTTCGGCACCAAAATGTTGACAATTCAACTTGACTCAACTCTCAACTCTCAAATAAATCCGAAAAATCTCCGACACAGACCTGGAGACACGTGGCTCAAGCCATTTCAATGCGTATATATTGAATCAGACGATTCCTGCGCACCACATCACATTTCTCAGGCCACGTCGACGACCGTCGAAACACTAAACCACTGCTAAAAAAATAGTCGTTGAATCGCTGCCAAGAGAAGCGTTCACTAAATTCCGTAACATATAGTGTCTCTTAGGGCCCTATATCGGTGGCTCTGGGGGCCCCACACCGGCGCCTCTGTGGGCCACCACACCTGTGCATCTCAAGGCTCTATAGGTATACATCTGAAGGACCCACACCGACACCTTTCAGGGCCCCACACCAGTATCTCGGAGGCCGGAGCTCTGAAGGCCCCACACCGGTGACTCTGACGACTCACCGGCTCCTGAGAGCACCATGTTGATGTCTAACGGCTCCACAAGGCCACTGAAGGCACCACACAAGCTCTCACTGAGCTCTAATGTCCATGTACCGGCCTCTGAGGGATTTAAGCCAGCGCATTCATAGCTCCACACCAGCAATTGTAAGGGCTTCACACTGAAGTATCTGAGGGTTCCACACCGGTGTCTCTAAGGGCCACATACCGGCATCGCTGAGGGCCCCATACCGGCGTCTCCGAGGGTTCACATCTGGCGGGCACCCATCAGCGACTGAAGGTCCCACACTGTCGACTCCGAGAGCCCCATCTGCGTCTGGGAGCACCATGCCGTCTCTAAGAACCACAACGGCTCCTCCGTACGAAAGATGGGCGTCTGCATGCCAAAGGGGAGCGGTTCTGAGACAGTAGGGCACCTACGTGCAATAGGGGGGCGCCTATGAAGCCCATAGGGGCGCCTCAATGCGAAAGAGGGTCGCCTCTGAGGCCTACATGTATGGGCATCCACATGCATTAGAGGTCTGCGACTGCAATTGATCAATGCCATGGGGGTGCATTCATAAGAAACAGGGGAGAGGCATGGCAAAGAGAAGCGCCTTCAAGTGTCCATAAAAGAGAGACGCCTATGCTAAGCGCACATTGTATGCGACAACGGGGCGACTGTGGGACATACAGGGATGTCTCTGATGACTATACATAGGGCGCTTATATGCCCAATAGTGCGCCTATGAAGCTAATGGGGGCACCTGGGAAACGAGGAAGACATTTGTGTAAAGCGGGCCGCCGTCCACTATGCGGAGCGCTTGCGGTCCGTACGGAATTTAATACAGAGAGAGCCCTATGGGCGCATGCGGTCTCCGTCCGGAGTCGGTCAGGAATGTCTCCGCATCCGGACAGCAAACGGAGAGCTCACGCACACTCGATATTAGTTGTTACAAAAAGAAAATATGGCCATTGCCTAGCATCACAAGATAGTGCCATGCCAAGGAAATAATATTAATTTACTTTGTCTTGAAAGAGTTGAAATTCAATCTTAAATTTGCAATTGAAAACTCGAAGACGGGCGACGGGCCATGTCCGCATCCATTCCGTCTGCGTTCTCCGCACAAGGTTCAACACGTCGTACTTGGGTACTTCGTCTCTGCGACAGCCGCGACAGCCACTTCGGATGTCGATTGATAACCCGATTTCGAATTTAGCTCGAGGGAGGTCAGCGCGACTTGCATAACGTGACTTCCGAGTCGGGACTGAATGTAATTACGCCAATTATCAGCGATATGTGTATACCGTATACCGAGCAGAGGTGTGACAAAATGAATGGATAGCAGGCATTGCTGGGTGGTCCATCTTGCCCCGCAATTTTTCTTGTCGGTCATTTTGACTTTGACATATCCCCCATTAAGGGCAGCCACCGCCTACATTTCTTGAAGTTGAAAATCGGTCTTTGCACATATCAAAAGAGGAAGGATTGAACATTCAGAAGCCTATAAACAATATGAGTTACGAGAGCAGTGTAGTAAGATATGCGGCCTCAAACCTAAGCTGTTCCGTCTTACGCCACCTTCCCCTAATAGAATGATCTCCTCTGGAATGGCCATTTGAGCAACTGGTAACCCGAAATCTTCGTACCTATAACGGTTGTGCTCTGTGCCGCCGTTAGAGTGTTTTTTATATTCGCAAAAAAAAAACGGCGTAGCCCCCCGCAGGGCACGGATTAGAAAATACATGTTGCTTCTAACTGATGGCAAACGCATACCTATTACCTAATACAAGAATAGCCCTACCTCAACCCTCGCCCGTATTTGTGTTTTTTTTCAGCCGCAAACGTAAAAGGGGGAGGGGTCTATTGGACCCCCCTGCCGTTTCGCCCCTGATCGAGCTAGAGCTTTGCGTAAAAAAAAAAACGATCCTGTTGCCCGTGACGAGAGGAGAGGAAAACCTGATGACACCCAATTTTAAGGTCCTAGGACACTGGTTGACCTTCAGCTCCAAAAACTGGCCTAAAACATGTAAAACTCGAAAAAGTGGACCGAGGTCATCAAAGGTCAATTACCTGACCTGACCTTCAGGTGACCTTGACACCCACCCTAATGCATAAGACCAACATCATTTCACATGTTTGAACGCTTGAAACCACGAAAAGACTGCAAACGCGTCGCTAATGCGAGCCGACATACACCGAATCGCGATTCCGGCCAAACATGGTCTCGAAAAGTAGGTCACAGGTCAAGGGCCATTTGGGTCAGGGTCATGAAATTTTTAGGGTAGGTGTAAAATTGATCAACTTGAGGGTACTGAAAGTGTCGTCGCGATCAACCGCTTTTTACGCGAGTTATTCGCGAAAAACCGAGGGGGAGGGGTCCGTTCGAGCCCCCCCCCCCCTCTACGGGCGAGGGTTAATAGCATGCATAGCTAGGGGTATCCAATTTCAGAAATATAAGTGGGACGCCTTCTATAGGGGGCGACAGGCGAGCTAGCGCAATAACGAGCTCTGTAGGTGCACATTGATTGACGTGAAACCGTCAACTCACACATGGGTTGCTGATGAGTACCACAAATGATTCTTGTCCCCATCCCCCCCCCCCGAACCACTTCCTGTAGGTATCTTCTCAATCCTAAATCTGGTCCTAAATCTACTATAGCTTCATGGTGGCGCATGATATATCATTGCAAGATAAATTCCCGTCGATTACCTCCACGACTCACGCCACAAGTGAACAGTGGTCGAGTGCTCTGTTGACAAGAAATATTACTATCTACGGTTACTCAGGTTTCTGCTGTCTATCAACACTTGTATGATTTCAGAGGGTCCCCTAATGCCGATCTTAAGCTGTTCATATCACAAAAGCATTGCAGTGCGGGACCTATCGTTTCCACTTCAGATACGATTGCATCAGTGAGCTGTCCCAAGCATCAAGCCGGCCATAGACGCTCAGAGCCGTCACCGTGGCGAACAAGGCAGGACTTCATGGCGTTCGTCGGAAGGCGCAGATCGAGGAAGGCCCAAGCAACAGGGTTACAACACAGACGAAGGTGAGACTAGGGATCAGTTTCCATATCGGTTCAATTCAAAGTGTTTTAAATTGAGTTTAAAGTGACCATCCAAGCTTAACATTAGTTTTGAGCTGAGATAGCCAATTTAGGGTTATTGGCATTCAACTGCCGGTTTCGGCATTCACAACATCAAAAACTGCTTTAGCTCTGATATATTTAATTTCAAAGTCAGCAGTTTTCGGATTCTAAGGGGCTAATGCACTTGAATTGATCCGAGAAAACAGATCTGGGTTCTGATCCCACGGATCCTGATCTCGGATCCGACGGGATCATAGATCCAGGTCTTTAATTTATTGAGAGGTCCGTAGGGATCATAGATCCGGATCTAATTTTTCGCTTGAGATCCAGTGAGATCATATATCCTCATTTACTTTTGTCAGCACAAGAATTGAAAAAATCACTGGTTTCAACTCGCAAACGTCCTGTTTTAGTGATGTTATTTGATTGCACGTCATTATCTATAGGTTTATGGCACTTATTGCCATATAAACACTTGAAAACCTGGTTTCAAATGTTGTGAATGCCGGGATCCACTCAGATCATACATAGATCCATGTTCTTGAGTTATCGTAAGACAGATCCTATGAGACCATAGATCCAGGGTAAGTTTTTCACGCCGGATCCGGTGGGATCATAGATTCTAATCCGCAGTTTGCTTCGAGATCCACTGAGATCATAGATCCATCACTCAGATCCATACATATGTCTGGTGGGAGGGTTCCTACTCCCTTTTAAGTATATTCGCGAGAACTCGCCCGAGAAACGTCTCCACTCCCCTCCCCCTCCAATCCAACCCTCTACACCCCCTCCACCCCCCCCCCTCCAACACTCGTCACTGCCAGTGACGGGTGTTGGCTGGCTGAGGTAGTGGGGGCTGTTTGTTTGTTTTTTGTTTTGTTGGGTTAGGCCCTTTCGGTCCAATTAGACCATTTCAGAGCCGGGAGGATGATAGGATATAGGGGGAGACATTGGTCTGGGCAGGCACCCTGGTGAGTCGCCGGGGCTGAGCCCGTCCAGAGGAAAGGCCACCCAGCCCCAATTGGCACTCACTGCACACCCAGGGAAAACGGCACTCGAAAGCTCTCAACAAGGCTGATCTTAAGAGCCAATTTTCTTTACTTAAGTAGGTCAGAGGTCAGGTCAAGGTCAGGTCAAGGGTACAAAATCCAAGTTTCTACAGTACGATAGGCGTTATCACAAGTGTATTCGCGGCCATTGGGGCGACGTAAGAAAAGAAGAAACCAACTGGCCCCAAGAACTTATCAGTTATCGGATTATATATTATATAGATATCGGATTATCGGATTATCAGTTAGCATGCACCTTTTCCTTGATGTGTAGAGAATTTACCATTATTTGTTACAGAAAATTGCATTTAAAATCTTCCATTTATGCTTTTTTCATCGTTTGCACAATATGTTCTTTTACTAAGCTAGAAACACTAATTAGAAATAGTTACCGCATCATCAAGAACAATAGGGAAGGCTTGAAGTGAATAAAACAATTTAAACGGGTTTGTAATCTATGTGAAGGCACTTCTAAAATTGCCTGTAGAAATATTGAAGGCAAAAGTTCAACTTTTTCACAAGACGGATGTCTATAAACCTATTTAACTTGTGACAACTCAGCCAGTATTTCGTCGCCTACAGCCCAGCTTTCCCTAGTGACCGATAGAGGCGCTGCTATCGATGTCCGCCCGTGCCGCGTAACGATCGGCCTTGCACCGTAGTTGCCGAAGAATGGACTGAGACTGATTGCCCAAAACGTGTTCGTAGGCTACCAAGACAATATTCGGTGCATACAATATCATGCAAAGGTCAAGGTCAAGGTCAGGTCAGGTCACCAAAAATGAAATATAGAAAAGGACATGTGCGACGCATGTTTTATGGGTCATTTTATTCATAGAATTCAATAGGCACACTCAATAAGTGACATGGACCACATCTGGATGAATTTCAGGTCGAGGTCAGGACAAGGTCAGGTCAAGTGAGGTCAAATTTCGAAGTTTGTTGTTAAGACCTAAAAAGGTGTCTAGCTGATGCAGTTTTTCACGGGAAATCGGATGGTGCTATTTTTGTTTCCGTACGAGGTCTAGAACTTCGAGAAAAAAAATCATTTTTCAAAAATTTTGTTGGTCGTGACATCATACAATTTTGAATAACTCCCACATTTTTGAACCGATTCTTCTAAAAATTGGTATGTAGGTGCACATAGACCACTCCTCTGACATATACCTAATCCGTTTTTTTCGATAAACTGAAAATTTTGGATTATATAGTTATTTTCCCAAAAAAGTCAGCTTTTTTAAATTGGGCCAAATCCAAAATTTTCAAAAAACGAGATAGCCATTTGATAGACAAAGTAGAATCACGTATAACCTTTTTGTTAAGTCTTGATTCCTTAAAAAATGATGATGTTAGCGGCGTTTGAAATTTTGCCGTTTTTAACCCCCGAGTTGCTGGGGGGGCGTTAAACGCCCCCACTTTTTTCGCCGGGCCATAGCAAAAAAATGGCGCGCCGCAGGCGCGCTAAATTTTGGGTACTTGTAGGGAATTGAATTAAGTTTATTGTGACAAAGTTTCAAAAAACTCGTTCGGAAAATTTTTGAGATATCGAGGTTTTAGTGCCGTCATGATTTCTGAGTTTTCGACCAAAAACGGCATATGTTCAAAAAATCATATAAAATCACAAAATAGACATACAGACATGCCGTAAACGCCAATAGACTGCCAATACCATGAACAATCAAATGGCCATCTTCGATTATTGATTATCGTTCCGAAGTTTCCAAAATTGTGAACTGAATCTTGGCATTTTCTCGTGACTACTTCACGGCCATGATACATGCATTTCTTAACCCGCGCCCGGCTGGGGGTCCTGGATTTCCACGCCCTGCTGGGGGGGGGGGGGGTGTTTGAACACCCCCCCCTTCTAACTCGGCTCCTGGGCCACGTAGCGATACGCGGAAGGCGGCGTTCGAAAGAGCGTCAAAAATAAGGACGAAATCACTTCAGTCAATTTTTTGGTCAGGTCAAAGGTCAGGTCACCAGAGGTCATTGAAGGGAAAATTTCGGCGATTTCCGGGTCGAATGTCGAAAATTTCCAAGAAGCCAACGCATAACTCGGGAACCAATAGAGCTACAGCGCCGCGGAAAAGCGCATTCGATAGCCCTATTAACGCCCTTTCTGAGTAATTCTCTCAGATTTGACCTAACGTCAACGGTTTTGCCTGCAGGGGGCAAAAACTGCAAAAATAGCCGATTTTTTCGGAAAGTTTTTCTGCAATAACTTTTGACCCAAGCCTTGTACGAGCTTACTTTTACCGGCATCGTGTTCCCCTCGTCAAGACGCATCGAATGAACTATAACTTGACCTTGAAAGGTCAACTTGAAAATTTGACCTCAGGTCAAGGTCATGACCTGACCGGAAAGGGTCATGTTGCATATCAGTCGATCCGTATCGTCGAGCTGAACACATCTAAGGCGTTTTCATCGCTCTAGGTTGCCTCTATCAAAAGTTATTTGAGAAAAACTGTTAGATACCATTCGTGACCTAAGATGACCTCAGGGCATAAACAGGGGTCACGGACACCATTTTCATGTTCAGTGTGTCTAAACCACTTGTAATTCGGTGTTTGGGAGTGTTTATAATGTCTTTCGTCCAAAAGAGGCGCATTTCAATTTTCTCCCATTGACTTATAATGGGGAGGTCGCAAAATTGACCTGACCTTAGGTCATCGATATCAAAACTCTGAGATATACATTTTGTACATGCTATTGCTCTTAGCAATCGCTGAAAGTTTCAAAGCGATCGGTCACTCGGTGTAGCTATGACAGACATTGAAACTTTTTATAAGGTGAGGTCACTTCAAGTGACCTGGTGACCTGACCTTGAATGACCTTGGTCTGAAATTTTTACAACATGTGTAGAATTGATGTATGATAAGGTGTACCAAAAACGGCGGCGCTCCGCGCCGCCGTTTTTGAGATATTCGCGAAAAACCACAAGGGGGGATGTTCAAACACCCCCCCCCAGCAGGGCGCGGCTTAAATTGAACTTTTTGAGCCAAACACGTACACATATGATAAAATGAATGCCACCATCGTGTTCTACGCCCCAAGTTACCCAATAAACATGTGTCACAGGCTGCGAATATCAGTTTTGATTTTCGGGGATATGTGCCTACCCGGTTGACCTGACCTTGACCCTGCCGGCCTGACCTATCCTTGACTGACCCCTACATTGAGCTGACACTCTTGTAGGCCTTATATGATGGACTTGCACCGTTTTGACAGAGTTTATGACGAGAGGCGCCCATTGCGAAGTCCTGAAGTCCATGCTACTGAAAGCCCGATTTCAGGTGTTTGACCTGACCTTGACCCGACCTGTGACCTCAAAATTCAACTTTTAAGTACTCATATGAAGCGTCTCGTCGCGTTCTTTCGTTTGCCGCCTCGTGCGTTTCGCTGCGCCTATTGGTTCTCGAGTTATCGGCTGGGGGCGTTTAACGCCCCCCCCCCCCCCCAGCAAACGGTGGGTGGCGAAATACCCCAGCAACTGCCGGGTTAAGGCGAAAATGGCGGACAGGACGTCACTTAAACGTCATTTTATCAAAATTTTCGAAGGATTTTGCTCAGATTTTCAAAAAAAAAAACGTGTTAAATTGATGTATAATATGGTACTAAAAGTTTGACATCGCTGGCGTAACGCGTTTAGAAGTTATGGCGACAAACGGGAGGGGGCAGATTCTGCCTCCCCCCCCCCGCGGGGCGCGGGTTTACTTTTCCTCCACTGCAACCGGACTGTACCTTGGACTTTGCAAGAAACTACAAAGGTCTACACCAGCCGATTATGAAGCTGCAGGTGAAATAGTTAAGCGCAGTTGAAAAAAAAAATCGAGCCATAGCCTTAGCCTAAGCCTCCATTATAGCCTAAACTATAATGGCGTACTGTTAACGCCAGACCCCTTGAGACCCTAATTTTTCGCGATTATTTTTAAATGCGTGGAAGAATTTCAACCAAGCTCAGGACATGGCCGTTTCAAGACCTGCCGAAACTTTTACAATTAAGATATTTTATCGCCATTTCAATATTTCAGGCACTTCTCATTGACTCGTAATGTTAAATTTCGAGCAAGATTTTCACCCGGTGTGTAGAGGCTATCACCAGTCAGCCTGTGATACGTAATGACGTCACAGCTAAGCCCCGCCTCTGTGGTCTTGGCCTGCGGCGGTTTCGGGCCGGCGCGCGGTCACTCTCGCTGTGGCGGGGAGCAGGGACGGTCGAGCGGTGCCGAAAGCCGGCGGAGTTATGCGTAACGTCTTGGCTGACAGTGCCCAAAGAGCGACATGATGACTGAGGAGCCATAAATGCTCAATGCACATTGCTTGTACATTGTACAATGCTGATATGTTCGCTGATATTTGCTTCATTTCTTTAAGCTGCAAATGACGGGCAGATGGCACATAACTGACATAAGGTTAGGAAATATTCACCTGTATTTAAAGCCTATGGCGTTGCAGATAATGCGATAATGGGATGTCGGATGTCACCAAGTAGCTGCCGATTTGTACCTCGCTATGCAACCATCGAACAACGCAATAATAAGTTAATTGCCTTCGCTTCACATCATAAGGATCGCTCGTATTTCAAACAGATATCCTACATCGAAAATCGTATTTGTTAGGAATCGTTAACGTTTGTTCGAAGCACGTGTGAGTAGTAGGTTGAGGAGTGATGGTCCTCTTGGTCCTATATACAAGAGTCAACAAGAACCTAACATTTACTTGACCGTCTGCTGCAATTGATTCATAGCACGTGAAGCGTCAGCGAAATTCATAGTCCTTTACAGATGGCAGGGGTGTCGTTTGTACAGAGGTCGCTGATGGGCACGGGTCAATGCCGCAGTCGTGGGCGGAGCCTAATGTCATATGACGTATGAAAGCCTCTATCCAGGATGGAAAAACAGTTAACATTACGAGTCAATGACAAGTGCCACAAATATTTAAGTGACAACAAAATGTATTTGAAGAAAAAGTTTCGGCAGGTCTTGAAACAGCTACTTCCTAAATGTGGTTGAAATTATTCCACGCATTTAACCCGCGCCCTGCTGGGGGTCCTGGATTTCCACGCCCTGCTGGGGGGGGGGTGTTTGAACACCCCCCCTTGTAACTCGGCTCCTGGGCCACGTAGCGATACGCGGAAGGCGGCCTTCGAAAGAGCGTAAAAAATAATGACGAAATCATTTCGGTCAATTTTTTGGTCAGGTCAAAGGTCAGGTCACCAGAGGTCATTGAAGGCAAAATTTCGCCGATTTCCAGGTCGAATGTCGAAAATTTCCAAGAAGCCAACGCATAACTCGGGAACCAATAGAGCTACAGCGCCGCGGAAAAGCGCATTCGATAGCCCTATTAACGCCCTTTCTGAGTAATTCTCTCAGATTTGACCTAACGTCAACGGTTTTGCCTGCAGGGGGCAAAAACTGCAAAAATAGCCGATTTTTTGAAAACAGTTTTTCTGCAATAACTTTTGACCCAAGCCTTGTACGAGCTTACTTTTACCGGCATCGTGTTCCTCTCGTCAAGACGCATCGAATGAACTATAACTTGACCTTGAAAGGTCAACTTGAAAATTTGACCTCAGGTCAAGGTCATGACCTGACCGGAAAGGGTCATGTTGCATATCAGTCGATCCGTATCGTCGAGCTGAACACATCTAAGGCGTTTTCATCGCTCTAGCATGCCTCTATCAAAAGTTATTTGCGAAAAACTGTTAGATACCATTCGTGACCTAAGATGACCTCAGGGCATAAACAAGGGTCACGGACACCATTTTTAAGTTCAGTGTGTCTAAACCACTTGTAATTCGGTGTTTGGGAGTGTTTATAATGTCTTTCATCCAAAAGAGGCGCATTTCAATTTTCTCCCATTGACTTATAATGGGGAGGTCGCAAAATTGACCTGACCTTAGGTCATCGATATCAAAATTCTGAGATATGCATTTTGTACATGCTATTGCTCTTAGCAATCGTTGAAAGTTTCAAAGCGATCGGTCACTCGGTGTAGCTATGACAGACATTGAAAATTTTTATGAGGTGAGGTCACTTCAAGTGACCTGGTGACCTGACCTTGAATGACATTGGTCTGAAATTTTCACAACATGTGTAGAATTGATGTATGATAAGGTGTACAAAAAACGGCGGCGCTCCGCGCCGCCGTTTTTGAGATATTCGCGAAAAACCACAAGGGGGGGGTGTTCAAACACCCCCCCCCCAGCAGGGCGCGGGTTAACCCGCGAGTTGCTGGGGGGGGGGGCGTTAAACGCCCCCACTTTTTTCGCCGGGCCATAGCATAAAAACGGCGCGCCGCAGGCGCGCCAAATTTTGGGTACCTGTAGGGAATTGATTCAAGTTTATTGTGACAAAGTTTCAAAAAAATCGGTCGGAAAATTTTTGAGATATCGAGGTTTTAGTGACGTCATGATTTCTGAGTTTTCGACCAAAAACGGCATATGTTCAAAAAATCATATAAAATCACAGAATAGACATACAGACATGCCGTAAACGCCATTAGACTGCCAATACCATGAACAATCAAATGGCTATCTTCGATTATTGATTATCGTTCCGCATTTTCCAAAATCTTGAACTGAATCTCGGCAATTTCTCGTGACTTCTTCACGCCCATGTTACATGCATTTCTTAAATTTAACTTTTTGAGCCAAACACGTACACGTATGATAAAATGAATGTCACCATCGTGTTCTACGCCCCAAATTACCCATAAAACATGTGTCACAGGCTGCGAATATCAGTTTTGATTTTCGGAGATATGTGCCTACCCGGTTGACCTGACCTTGACCCTGACCTATGCTTGACTGACCCCTACATGGAGCTGACACTCTTGTTGGCCTTATATGATGGATTGTGCACCGTTTTGACAGAGTTTATGACGAGAGGCGCCCATTGCGAAGTCCTGAAGTCCATGCTACTGAAAGCCCGATTTCAGGTGTTTGACCTGACCTTGACCCGACCTGTGACCTCAAAATTCAACTTAAAAGTACTCATCTGAAGCGTCTCGTCGCGCTCTTTCGTTTGCCGCCTCGTGCGTTTCGCTGCGCCTATTGGTTCTCGAGTTATCGGCTGGGGGCGTTTAACGCCCCCCCCCCCCCCCCAGCAAACGGTGGGTTGCGAAATTCCCCAGCAACTGCCGGGTTAATAATAATCGCGAAAAATTAGGGTCTCAAGGCGTCTGGCGTTAACAGTAGTTAATTGCTAGAACTTTCAAACCATTCGGTCAGCTTGAATCAAACATCAGATTCTCCAACTTCTAACTCTGTATGGCTTATTAACAATCGCGAGAGCCCGTACGGCGTGTGCGTCTCCCCGCCCCCTCCTTGACCGGGAAGGAATAAATCGAAGAGGAACAGGACAGTAACGAAACGAAGGTGGAACGCTACCGACCGGGGTCTGTCCGTGCGCAACAAATCCGCCGTCGACCTAGCGGTGACCTTGACCTCCGTCGTCTGTTGCGGCTCCAAAGCCAAGCCGACGTGGAATTGGGAGAGCTCGGAATCGGGCTCCCCCAGCTCGGCACAAACCTCCACCTACCTACTGAACGAAATTTCTCCTCTATCGGTGGCGGCGAGAGTTCAGTCTGTGACGAACATAAGATCGGTCTTTGTGGAGTGCGGTAGCGAATAACACCGTTCTGCGGGAAGGCAAGGTCAGGTCATTTTGGTTGTAAAAGGGGTAGTGGTGACTCCTCTTACATAACTCCTCTTCTTACATTTTCCGTGTCCTTGGTTCCAGAGAACCGCCGCCATGGGGGTCTTCCGTGGCGAACCGCCGCGGCCTCGATGGCTGCCGAGACTGCTGATGGCGTCACTGGTTCTGAACGGAGTCGTGCTGGGCCGTCCCAGCGGCCAGCCGGCCGTGTGCGGCCGGTCCTGCTGCTCCGTGCTGCCATCGTGTGAATATGCCAAGATAGTGACGTGCGACTGCCCGGACCTGGACAAAGTGAGTCATTCTTTTCAATCCATTATGATATTTCAAACCACGAGCAGGAATGAAAAATGGTATACATTTGAGTTATTTTTATTCTTACCAGTAATTTAATTGTTTTCTTCCCTTTAACCCGCGCCCTGCTGGGGGTCCTGGATTTCCACGCCCTGCTGGGGGGGGGGGTGTTTGAACACCCCCCCTTGTAACTCGGCTCCTGGGCCACGTAGCGATATGCGGAAGGCGGCGTTCGAAAGAGCGTAAAAAATAATGACGAAATCACTTCGGTCAATTTTTTGGTCAGGTCAAAGGTCAGGTCACCAGAGGTCATTGAAGGCAAAATTTCGCCGATTTCCAGGTCGAATGTCGAAAATTTCCAAGAAGCCAACGCATAACTCGGGAACCAATAGAGCTACAGCGCCGCGGAAAAGCGCATTCGATAGCCCTATTAACGCCCTTTCTGAGTAATTCTCTCAGATTTGACCTAACGTCAACGGTTCTGCCTGCAGGGGGCAAAAACTGCAAAAATAACCGATTTTTTCGAAAACAGTTTTTCTGCAATAACTTTTGACCCAAGCCTTGTACGAGCTTACTTTTACCGGCATCGTGTTCCTCTCGTCAAGACGCATCGAATGAACTATAACTTGACCTTGAAAGGTCAACTTGAAAATTTGACCTCAGGTCAAGGTCATGACCTGACCGGAAAGGGTCATGTTGCATATCAGTCGATCCGTATCGTCGAGCTGAACACATCTAAGGAGTTTTCATCGCTCTAGCATGCCTCTATCAAAAGTTATTTGCGAAAAACTGTTAGATACCATTAGTGACCTAAGATGACCTCAGGGCATAAACAAGGGTCACGGACACCATTTTCAAGTTCAATGTGTCTAAAACACTTGTAATCCGGTGTTTGGGAGTGTTTATAATGTCTTTCATCCAAAAGAGGCGCATTTCAATTTTCTCCCATTGACTTATAATGGGGAGGTCGCAAAATTGACCTGACCTTAGGTCATCGATATCAAAATTCTGAGATATACATTTTGTACATGCTATTGCTCTTAGCAATCGCTGAAAGTTTCAAAGCGATTGGTCACTCGGTGTAGCTATGACAGACATTGAAAGTTTTATGAGGTGAGGTCACTTCAAGTGACCTGGTGACCTGACCTTGAATGACCTTGGTCTGAAATTTTCACAACATGTGTAGAATTGATGTATGATAAGGTGTACCAAAAACGGCGGCGCTCCGCGCCGCCGTTTTTGAGATATTCGCGAAAAACCACAAGGGGGGTGTTCAAACACCCCCCAGCAGGGCGCGGGTTAAGGTGGTTTGGACGAAGTTAACCCGCGCCCCGTAGGGCTATCGGCGGACCCTACCACCCGTAGGTGGAGGGGGGCGTTCCCCCCCTAAGATCTCGAAAATTTACCGGCCGATTTTCAAAATTCAAACGGCGTTCGATAGCCCCACCAGAAAACTACCTAGTGACTAAATTTCATTGACCTAGGTCAAACCGATGACGTCACAGGTCAGGTCAGGTTAAAGGTCGGATTTTCACCGTTCACAGGCATTTCAAGAAATGTGTTGTGAAATCTAGTAAATTGGCAATTTATTGAAAACCATCGATGGTACATTGTTCGTCAAACACATACTTTGATATCTGATGTCACTGATACCAGGTCAGGTCACAGCGAGGTCAGGTCACCGGGGGTCACAATATGAAAGTGTCTTGTGATACATGTTTTATGGTCCATTTTACATGACAAATACGATTATGTGGGTTAAGCAGCCTTTGGGACCAGCCTACGTCACGTTTTGGTGAAGGTCACGTCAAGGTCAGGTCAAATTAGGTCAAATTTCAAAATTGATATTTTGCATAAAATGGCTATCGATTCGATGCAGCTCGTCTCGGGGAGTCTAATGGTGGTCTTTGATTTGCTCTACGAGGTCTAGAATTGCCAAAATTTGAGTTTTAAAAATGGATGTCAAAATTTTTGAACAGTTTTTTTTTTTCGCTATAACTTGGCCAAAAAACGAGGCATCGATCTGAAATTTGGTATGTAGCTAGAAGACGGTAGGTACTATCACATATAATTCCGTTTTTTTCGAAACTCAAAATTTGTTTTGGATTTTTTGGCTAATATAAAAAAATGTTTTTTGATTTTTGGGGGTCAAAACTCAAAAATGTAAAAAAAATCCGAGATGGCAGTTTTGTAGCCCTGTTCATTCTACACCTTTTATGTCTTTTTGTCTGTATCTTCAAAGCTGTAGGCCTGACAGGTCTTCTCGCGAAGGTCTTTTTTCGGTCGAGAATGACAAAACATGACGTCATTCTGACGTCATTTGTGGCCAACCTATCATAGCCTCTGGAAAATTGTTTTGGTCACAATGTGTAAAATTGATGCCCAGAGGGGTTTTGAAAGTTTGGTGGCGATATCTCCTGCCGTTTAGGAGATATCGACGGAAAAGGACAGGGGGGCGTTTCGCCCCCCCCCCGCTTCGGATCGCGGGTTAACGTTTCCATCCGAAGTGGTGTGCCATTATAAAAAAACAGCTTTTTAGAGCAGAAAATTGTGAATATAAATCATAGCTACTGAGCAAAGTAACGTATAAACAACCACTCTTACTTAAATTTTTATTTAATTTAATTTAACTTCAATGAAAATTTAGTTAGGTAAAATTAAAATATGTTTATAGCCATTTACCATGTTATTTTTTTTCGTAGACGATCATTCGGAAAGGAGACGTTCCCGCTACTGCTCGCGAGGTGACTATCCGCCGCCCGCGACACGTCATCCTCGAGGAAGACACGATCGGAGGCCTTCCGTTCCTGGAGAACTTCACCGTCAGCGATGTGGGCCAGCTGGAGATCAGGCGGGGCGTGGTTTTGTCAGAGATCCCGACATCACTTCGCTGGCTCAAATTCTTCCGTATTGATTCAGTAATAGTCGAGCCAATGGCCTTCTTCGACCCTCGAGAAGTGGAACAGGTTTCGATTACGTTTCATCAAATCGGGCTTCTTGTCATAGAGACCAACGCATTCGACATGTTTCTTGAAGATCTAGTCCTGAAAAACGTCGAAGACGCTTACATGAGACCGGAAGGCTTTTTCAAGTCAGTTTCGATGATTGAGTTGAATAATGTGTCCATTGAAGAGTGCCACCAAGGATCATTCGGTCAGAATTCCAGACGCGTCATGTGGACTGATGTAACCATGGAAGAAGCAAAACCGGGATGTATCACTTTCAGGGATGGTGCCACTTTTGATGTCCTGGGTCTGAGACTAAACACTGTGAAAACCAAAGCATTCTCCGGCAATCCTCGCAAAGTGGTGATCCGAGACAGCCAGCTGGGTCATTTGTACGAAAATGCCTTCCACCTCCGGCTCACTAAATTTACATTCAGAAATGTAGAAGTTGGTACGCTGCATCCGTTCTCTCTTCACATCAGTTCGAAGGGCCCAGTCTATATCGACCATGTGCGAATCGATGAGATGCAACGTGATGCCCTTCGGGGCATCCGTTTGGAGTCTCCTGCCCCAGCGAAACTGCTTCTGATTGATCTGGAGATCCTTTCAGCAGAAAACTCATCGTTTGCTCTCTCTAAAACGATAAAAGATCGCAGCCTGAACGCATCCCGCATCAATGTGAAGTCAAGACCCATTCCCGTGTGTCCTAACGAGAAGTACGCCCGCTTCTTGACTGGTGTCGGGGACACAGGACAGATGACCCCAGCTCAAAGCAAAATCTCAGAGGCACTCACAGGAAACATCTTTTGCGATTCATTTGAGTGGGAAGGCAGCGAGGACTTCGAGAGACCGATGGTTGAAACAGCTCAAGACACCTCAGTGGAACCAAAAGACGGACATGGACCTGGAAATCGTCCTAAGGGCAATCATGAAGTGGAAGAAGCTGACATCTCTGCCGCTGACACTGAGGACGAATATGGACCTACAAAGCATGTCGAGGAGGAGCAAAGGCCCGGACACGACGCCGAGAACGCGAGTGTATCCAGCAATGGCGTAGATGACCTCAATAGACTTCAAGATCGTACTCGCGTACAAGATCGTACAAGATCGTCGTCGTCGCTGGTCGACGACCAGCGACCGACAGCTGATAGCAAAGACGACCAGGGACCGAAAGCTGACACCAAAGACGACCATAGACCGACAGCTGATACTAAAAACGACCATAGACCGACAGCTGATACTAAAAACGACCATGGACCGACGGCTGATACCAAAGACGACCATAGCCCCACAGCTGATACCAAAGAACATCATTATGTGACAGCTAATACCGAAGACGACACTACGTCTGTAGAGGGTACCAAAAACGACGATGTTTCTGTACGCGATGCTGATGATGGCGATGATCATGTCGGTAGGGATGCCCATGGACATCATGGTTTCAAAGTGGGTGTCGCCGTCGCCGCCGGCGTGCTAGCAGTGTTGATTGTAGGCTTGTTTATATGGAAGTTGCTGAAAAACAGTTGCCCAGACTATTCGCCAGTTGCTAATAGTTGAAAGCTATTGGTTCTAGAGTTCGTGAATTTACTATTATCATCAAACACTTATTAGATTCTTGACAAATCAACGATCAACAATCCCTTTAAAAGCTATATAAATGGCACGTTGACGTGACACATCTTTGTAGTGGTTTTAGCAAAACATCTCATTGGAAGTATCGCATATGTCGTTTTGAAACGAATGGTAGCTCCAAAGTTCACGCGATCACTTGACTAATTCTTGAGTTACCACGAAAGCGACAGAGGATGGGCGCTAAACTCTCTCAGCCAATGGTCGGTTAAAGTCAATAATGTTATGTGACCTATAGCCTTCTGTTCAAAAATGTGCTTCAACAACTTAATGTTTAGATTTAGGCCAAATTTTGGTTGATATCTCCGATACTGGGTTCACTAGAGTTTTCAATACAAGCCGAGCCATGAGATCCCGGCGACGACGGCGGTCCCGAGAAGGTGGCGACAGCGGCGAGCGGATCAATCAGGCGCCGAGGACCGCACCGCCGCCAGCCGCGCGCGAGATCGCCCGGCGACGGTGCTGCTGCTGGGTGCTTGCTAATATGTTAATGCATCATGTGTGTGTGATTGCTTATTTGGCTATCGTGAATGATTGCCCGTCGAAGTACCACCGAACTACGTCATGTCCTTTCATAGTTTAGGTCGTGTTTCATAGACGCTATCGAATGTATGTGGCGCTTTTAGCGATAATGTACTCGATGTGTACTTCCTGCGTTAGGCTATTTTTGAATCGTGAAATCATTGGGTATTTTCGTTCAATTGTGTTTCATAAATTGAAGTTATGCTTTATCTTGTCTAACACCAGTAAACATGCTTCAGTATCGGTGGTATCTGTAGGACAAAAAAAGTGATTGAATGATTGAGCTGATGTGCATTCACGCCAGGGCCTCGGCTAACATGTTAACTACTGGGGCAATGCCCCAGTAGAGTCGAGGAATGCCCCAGTAGTGGTCAGGCTTTGCCCAACTTCCACAAAATGACAATATATCAATATTAACGTACATTCTTTCAGTCGGGAGCGGATGAAGCCGTTTGTGGCAAGAAATCGGGGGCGGCGGAAGAGGGAGTGAGCACGGTGTGCATGGCTGCACCCTCAATTTCCATAAAAACAGGCGTGCACATTGGCAAACATATCTTTTTGCACCCCATAATCCATCTTCGTTCGAAAGAGCGTCAAAAATAATGACGAAATTACTTTGGCCACTTTTTGGTCAGGTCAAAGGTCAGGTCATGGTGAAGGCCAAATTTCGCCGATTTTCGCCGAGATCTCGCCGCGAAATTCCGCGGCGGAATTTCGCCGAGGTCGAATATCGACAGTTTACAAGATGCCGACGCATAACTCGGGAACCAATTAGAGCTACAGCACCGCGAAAAAGCGCATTTGATAGCCATAGTTATTAGCATGCTTTCTGGCTATCTCTCTTAGATTTGGCCTAACGTCAACGGTTTTGCCTGCAAGGGGCAAAAACTACCAAAATAGACGATTTTTTGGGAACAGTTTTTCTGCAATAACTTTTGACTCATGCCTTGCACGAGCTTATTTTTACCGACATCGTGTTCCTCTCGTCAAGACGCATCAAATTAACTACCATTTGACCTTGAATGTCAACTTGAAAATTCGACCTCAGGTCAAGGTCATGATCTGACCGGAAATTGTCATGTTGCATATCAGTCGATCTGCTGTCTGCATCGTCGAGCCAAACACAACTAAGGCATTTTCATCGCTCTAGCATAAGCATGCCAATTTCAAAAGTTATTCGCGAAAAACTGTTAGATACCATTCGTGAACTGAGATGACCTCAGGGGTATAAACAAGGGTCACGGGTGCTATTTTCATGTTCAGTGTGTTTAAGTCACGTACAGTGTTTTATAGTGTTTAGAATAACTTTCGTCCAAAAGAGGTGCTTTTGAATTTTCTCCCATTGACGCAAAATTGAGCTGATCTTAGGTCACCGATATGAAAATTCCGAGATATATATTTTGTACATGCTGTTGCCCTCATCAATCGCTGAAAGTTTCAAAGCGATCGGTCACTCGGTGTATCTACGGCATACATTGAAACATTTTATAATGTGAGGTCACTTGAAGTGACCTGGGCCTCGTTTCATAAAGCGAGTCCGTAACTTACGCCGGTTTTTGGGATTGTATTGCAAGCGCATGTGAAGCGATAAATTTATTTCCCCTTCTCCCTTCTGTTCTTGCTTGCGAAATAAATGAATTCCACTATTCAAACTATCGTCATCGCTTCACATGCACTTGCAATACAAGACCAAAAACCGGCGTAAGTTACGGACTCGCTTTATAAAACGAGGCCCTGGTGACCTGATTTTGAATGACCTTGGTCTGAAATTTTTACAACACGTGTAGAATTAATGGATGATTGAGAGCCGCTGTTTTTAGATATCCGCGAAAAACCGCAGGAAACACCGCAGGTGTTCAAACATCTCCCCCCCCCCCACCCAGCAGGGCGCCAACACACTTTGACGATTTGCCCCAGTAGTTAAAATTCCTTAGCCGAGGCCCTGATTCACGCAATAAACTGGCTTTGTTTGACGAAATAAACAATGTGTAAGAGAACAAAATTAACCCTCGCCCTGCTGGGGGGGGGGTGTTTGAACACCCCCCCTGTGGTTTTTCGCGAATATCTCAAAAAAACGTTTTTGGCACACCTTATCATGCATCAATTCTACACATGTTGTGAAAATTTCAGACCAAGGTCATTCAAGGTCAGGTCACCAGGTCACTTGAAGTGACCCCACCTCATAAAAAGTTTCAATGTCTGCCATAGCTACACCGAGTGACCGATCGCTTTGAAACTTTCAGCGATTGCTAAGAGCAATAGTATGTACAACATGTGTATCTCAGAATTTTGATATCGATGACCTAAGGTTAGGTCAATTTTGCGACTTCCCCAGTATAAGTCAGTGGGAAAAAATTGAAAGGCGCTTTTTTGGACGAAAGCCATTAGGTATGAACACTCCCAAACACTGAATAACAAGTAACTAAGACACACTGAACATGGAAATGGTATCCGTGATCCCTGTTTATGACCCTGAGGTCATCTCAGGTCACGGATGGTATCTAACAGTTTTTCGCGAATAACTTTTGATAGAGGCATGCGAGAGCGATGAAAACGCCTTGGATGTGTTCAGCTCGACGATACGGATTGACTGATATGCAACATGACCATTTCCGGTCAGGTCATGACCTTGACCTGAGGTCAAATTTTCAAGTTGACCTTTCAAGGTCAAGTTACAGTTCATTCGATGCGTCTTGACGCGAGGAACACGATGCTGGTAAAAGTAAGTTCGTTCAAAGCTTGGGTCAAAAGTTATTGCAGAAAAACTGTTTTCGAAAAAATCGGCTATTTTGGCAGTTTTTGCCCCCTGCAGGCAAAACCGTTGAAGATAGGTCAAATCTGAGAGATTTATTCAGAAAGGACGCTAATAGGGCTATCGAATGCGCTTTTCCGCGGCGCTGTAGCTCTATTTGGTTCCCGAGTTATTCGTTGGCTTCTTGGAAATTGTCGACATTCGACCTGAAAATCGGCGAAATTTGGCCTTCAATGACCTCTGGTGACCTGACCTTTGACCTGACCAAAAAAGTGACCGAAGTGATTTCGTCATCATTTTTGGCGCTCTTTCGAACGCCGCCTTCCGCGTATCGCTACGTGGCCCAGGAGCCGAGTTAGAAGGGGGGGGTGTTCAAACCCCCCCCCCCCAGCAGGGCGTGGAAATCCAGGACCCCCAGCCGGGCGCGGGTTAATTTGCACACATGAACCATTATGAACTAATGTTACGGAATCTTGTTTATGGAATATGGAATATTTGAATACATGGCCGGGGTAACGGGCAACAGTATAAAATGGTTGCCCGATATGACGCCACTGTATAGCCCGAGGGTGAAAACTGAAACATGCTTTATTGCCCGGGGCGTAGCCGAGGCCAATTGATAGTGAAGGTCAAAATTACGGTTAACATTTAAAACTATCACACATGCAGTTTACATACGAGCCGTGCACAAAAAAAAAAACTATAATGCTCATTTACATTGATCAAAGTTGGAAGGGCGTATGAATAGTATGAATGTCGTGTAATCCCTTTACAAAACCGTGGTCAAATGGCTATTCTAGAAGTAGAGTCAGTGTCAAAACATTTTAGACATACAACAGTGAGGAATAAAACACATGTAAACGTCAGTCACGTCAATAAAAAAGACATCAGTGCCGTACCCGAACCCCAGCTAGGACAGCAGACTATGTCACATCCTGTAAGTGTTGTAAAAGCTTGCGGGTAAACACTAAACTGCGAGATAGACATATCTTTTAAGTAAATCGTTGTACCCGGCGGCAGCGCGGTATGTAGGTAAACTGCCTCTTCCCGGTGGCCAAACTAAGAATGTCGGAACGACTGAGTGGGTGATCCTGCCGGGTACTGCGGCTGTAGTCGACCCACTCGGCATTGGTGGCAAACTGAGCAGCGAGAGACGGCGGTTCACCGTTACGTCGCGTCTTGTGTAAAAGGGTTAGTGATATGGACTTGGACCGTGACAGAGGGATCGAGCCAGCCTAAGGATGCGTGGACAGATGAGATGTGGTCGAATTTCTTCTCACCGGCTGCAAAGTTAAGAATGTTGTTGAGGACAGTGAGGTTCTTTGCAGACCCGTTCCCGTAGACAGAAAGGCAGTAACGGACATGGGACAGGACAAGGGCTGATGCAAGGATTGGGAGGATGGCAGTCGGCGGGCAGTGCACTCAGAACCGCTCAAGCCTCTGCAGAGTCTACCGAGACCATGCAGGGTTCGATGCAGTCGCTACCGAGAGACACATTTGGGGAGAACCTGAATGGTAAGTACATATTTGGTCTTATCTTTTTACCATTGTTCTCAATTGTAGTTAAGTTATATCCGCCAACCACCCCCCGATTGTCTCTAACCAGTATAACGCCTTTTGGGGCGACTAACGGAGCGAGCGAGAGGGTGGGCCTAGCACGTGCGAAATTGCGAGGGGTACCTCCAACTGACTTGTGCACGGCACCCTACTAACTGGTCTCTAGCGATGTGCCAAATTTGGGCACAATCGGCCCAGCCGTTCTCGAGATCTGGAAGCGGCACCCTGCACGTGCGCACGTGCAAAATGGGTCCCAACTGACTTGTGCACGGCACCCTACTAACCGGTCCCTAACCGTGTACCAAATTTGAGCGCAATCGGTCGAGCCGTTCCCGAGATCTGGAAACGACCCCTGCACGTGCGCACGTGCAGCAGCACCCCAACTCTGGCACATGTATATGCAGTGCCTAGTGGGTGCCTACCTACATGCCAACTTTCAGCGCAATCGGCCAAGTAGTTACCGAGATATTGCAACAATTACAAAACTGACACCTCTTCGTTTTGCACGTGGCACGTGCATAAGGGGTCATCCACATGCATCGGGAATAGTCCAATACTTGGTAGAAGGAATGAAGCTACCCTACAAAAATTACCGCGTGTAAATCGGTCAAGTGGTTGCTGAGATATAAGCCTCGCAAAAGCGTGACCACGGCCGGCCGGCCGGCCGGCCGCTCATACTCAGAAATTTCCGTTAATCTAAGGAAAGACTACGCTCGCTTCGCTCGCTCCGTAATCACCACTTCATGTTCATGCTCGATGGAAACCATTGACTATTCTCGCCGGAAATTAAAAAAAAAAAACACTGCACAGAGAACATAAAAAACAGCGTCGAGACCAAATATATTCCCTTAAGTTCTCCACATCAATTGTTCAGCCCCACATATGCATGGTCTACGTGAATTTCGACTGTTTTTTTTTTCATTCTCCCTTCCCCATTAATCACAGCACCCCGCGCTAAATGCTGCATACAGTGAACACTATAAATAGCTCAGAATATGCATGCATTCAATAGAAACGCGTATCAATAACCTACACATTACACAAGTATGTATTACTGTGCGGATCACGGAGCGCATCACTTATCGCACGAACCTGCCTGCGCGGCGGTCG